ATTAACTCATAATTACAAAGTGTTTTTTTAGTCCTACAACAATTTTTTCTCATTAACGCATAATGACAAAGTGTTTTTTTTAGTGCTACAACAATTGTTTCTCATTAACGCATAATGACAAAATGTTTTTTTAGTCCTACAACAATTTTTTCTCATTAACGCATAATGACAAAGTGTTTTTTTAGTTATACAACAATTATTTCTCATTAACGCATAATGACAAAGTGTTTTTAGTGCTACAACAATTGTTTCTCATTAACGCATAATGACAAAGTGTTTTTTTTAGTCCTACAACAATATTTTCTCATTAACGCATAATGATAAAGTGTTTTTTTTAGTGCTACAACAATTTTTGCTCATTAACTCATAATGACAAAGTGTTTTTTTAGTCCTACAACAATTTTTTCTCATTAACGCATAATGACAAAGTGTTTTTTTTTTGTGATACAACAATTTTTTCTTATTAACGCATAATGACAAAGTGTTTTTTTTAGTGCTACAACAATTGTTTCTCATTAACGCATAATGACAAGGTGTTTTTTAGTGCTACAACAATTGTTTCTCATTAACGCATAATGACAAGGTGTTTTTTAGTGCTACAACAATTGTTTCTAATTAACGCATAATGACAAAGTGTTTTTTAGTGCTACAACAATTGTTTCTCATTAACGCATAATGACAAAGTGTTTTTTAATGCTACTACAATTGTTTCTCATTAACACATAATGACAAGGTGTTTTTTAGTGCTACAACAATTGTTTCTCATTAACGCATAATGACAAAGTGTTTTTTAGTGCTACTACAATTGTTTCTCATTAACGCATAATGACAAGGTGTTTTTTAGTGCTACAACAATTGTTTCTCATTAACGCATAATGACAAAGTGTTTTTTAGTGCTACAACAATTGTTTCTCATTAACGCATAATGACAAAGTGTTTTTTAGTGCTACAACAATTGTTTCTCATTAACGCATAATGACAAAGTGTTTTTTAGTGCTACAACAATTTTTTCTTATTAACTCATAATGACAAAGTGATTTTTTTAGTCCTACAACAATTTTTTCTCATTAACTCATAATGACTAAGTGTTTTTAGTGCTACAACAATTGTTTCTCATTAACGCATAATGAAAAAGTGTTTCTTTAGTGCTACAACAATTGTTTCTCATTAACGCATAATGACAAGGTGTTTTTTAGTGCTACAACAATTGTATCTGATTAACGCATAATGACAAAGTGTTTTTAGTGCTACAACAATTGTTTCTCATTAACACATAATGACAAGGTGTTTTTTAGTGCTACAACAATTGTTTCTCATTAACGCATAATGACAAAGTGTTTTTTAGTGCTACTACAATTGTTTTTCATTAACGCATAATGACAAGGTGTTTTTTAGTGCTACAACAATTGTTTCTCATTAACGCATAATGACAAAGTGTTTTTTAGTGCTACTACAATTGTTTCTCATTAACGCATAATGACAAGGTGTTTTTTAGTTCTATAACAATTGTTTCTCATTAACGCATAATGACAAGGTGTTTTTTAGTACTACAACAATTGTTTCTCATTGACGCATAATGACAAAGTGTTTTTTAGTGCTACTACAATTGTTTCTCATTAACGCATAATGACAAAGTGTTTCTTCAGAGCTACAACAAATACAAACTATTTCCTTAGCAACACAACAATGAAAGTTCCAAAAAATTACGAGCTGTTACTTAGTGTAATAACAATTTTATTTTAACAGCAATTACAAGTTGATTACTTAATGCCACAACAATGATATTCCCACAACAATTACAAGCTGGTTCCTTAGTGTCGCAAAAATTGTATTTCAACAGAAATTAAAAGCTGGTTCTTTAGTGTCACAATATTGATACCTTGACAACATTTACAAACTGGCTCCTTAGTTTTACAACGATTGTATTTCAACGCCATTTAAAAGTTATTTCCTTAGTGTCACAACAATGTAACTTCCACAACAATTTCAAGCCATTCGCAAAAAAAAAAAAAAACACTTGAATTAATAAATATCAATGTGGTAAAAGATCAGCTTTATTGGAAAGAATTGCTGAAGCTTTGCATGCATTTTTTTCCTGAAAACAAACAAGTATATTGACATCGCGTCATCCTGTTTACTGAAACCGTTTAAAATAAGGGTATCTGTTGCACCAGACCAGATCATGTTAGCTTTATTTAAAGACAAAAATGGAGTCATTCTTGAGGAGTATTCTAACGGTGGATGGTGGGTGTACTCCCCTCCTGTACCTTGCACTCCACGGTGGATGATGGGTGTACTCCCCTCCCGTACCTTACATTCCATGGTGGATGGTGGGTGTACTCCCCTCCCGTACCTTACATTCCACGGTGGATGGTGGGTATACTCCCCTCCCGTACCTTACATTCCACGGTGGATGGTGGGTGTACTCCCCTCCCGTACCTTACATTCCACGGTGGATGGTAGGTGTACTCCCCTCCCGTACCTTACATTCCACGGTGGATGGTGGGTGTACTCCCCTCCCGTACCTTACATTCCACGGTGGATGGTGGGTGTACTCCCCTCCCGTACCTTACATTCCACGGTGGATGGTGGGTGTAATCCTCTCCCGTACCTTACATTCCATGGTGAATGGTGGGGGTACTCCCCTCCCGTAACTTACACTTCACGGTGGATGATGGGTGTACTTCCCTCCCGTACCTTACATTCCACGGTGGATGGTGGGTGTACTCCCCTCCCGTACCTTACATTCCACGGTGGATGGTGGGTGTAATCCCCTCCCGTACCTTACATTCCACGGTGGATGATGGGTGTACTCCCCTCCCGTACCATACATTCCACAGTGGATGGTGGGGGTAATCCCCTCCCGTACCTTACATTCCACGGTGGATGGTGGGTGTACTCCCCTCCCGTACCTTACATTCCGCGGTGGATGGTGGGTGTACTCCCCTCCCGTACCTTACATTCCGCGGTGGATGGTGGGGGTAATCCTCTCCCGTACCTTACATTCCACGGTGGATGGTGGGTGTACTCCCCTCCCGTACCTTACATTCCACGGTGGATGGTGGGTGTACTCCCCTCCCGTACCTTACATTCCGCGGTGGATGGTGGGTGTACTCCCCTCCCGTACCTTACATTCCACGGTGGATGGTGGGCGAACTATCCGAGGCCAAAACCGTTCTAATTAGGAGTTGGATCAGAAAGTATTTCTTGTTAGGAGCCGCGCGGTGACAGCGCCTGGCAGGCTGCCGCCGTCCTATATTTACCTGGCCCGGTTCACGTCGCCAGGACACCCTCAATGGGGCGGATCCCCCCTTTGTCAACACTCCACCCTGCCGCAGGAAATCCTCGAATAGAACCAAACCTTTGTATCCAAACAGATTCTCTTTTTCTAACTGACCAAAAATCACTTCTGTGGCAATATAACATCGGAATGGCTCAGTGGTCGTCGACATCAAACAAGTAGGCCATACCGGTAAACACGCGAAAGAACAGAGATTCTACAATTCTTTGATAAATTGGTTCACAACTTCACCTTTAGAAAGATCTAATAAAATAAATAGATGGTATATACATTATAAGTCTAAACAATATAAATAATTCTGGCGAACATCGGTCAAACCCAAGATACATAGGTTTCACACATAAAATATAGGGAAAATGTTCTAGGGGAACATTTAATCGTTTTTGAATATTTAATGTGATAGATCCTTTGGAAAAAATTTATACAAATGATATAATGATAAATTTCAATATTTATAGTTGACCTATCCAGATGAACCTTGCCACAACAAAAGTTAGGTCTGGAAGGAATACTTTCCATGGTTCCTAATTCGGATAATTTTCGGGTATTTATTATTCCGTGTACTCTAGATAAATGGTTCCCAACTTCTTACACCGGCGATACGCTCCACATGGGAGAATGGAGTTTTGGTAAGAACGAGATTCTAGAATAAAGATACTAACTCTGATTAAATATATATTTTAGAACACACTTTGAAATAAAAAATGATTAAAATTTTCCACCTGGATTACAAAATCTACCCTTTTTAAATTTGATTAATAAATTTTAATTTTTTGGTCTACAAGTTTTTGAGATAATTTTACGATATATCCATTGGAAATTAGAAAGCAGCTAAAAGCACACAGCTAAGTAACAGCCTTAGAGAATAGCCTAGATTATTTTTGTACCTTAGAGGGCGAATGCTTCATTCTTTCAATTATTTTATTTCTTTCTTATCATGTTTTGTGGATTCTAATAGGAATTGGCAACTCACATCGACATTATACTTCTCATTCAGTGCTTTACTCTACTGAAGGTGGGTCTCCTCATCTCACCTCCTTCAGTGCCTTCCTCTACTGAGGGTGGCTGACCACATGGTCACTCCATATCTCCCTCCTTCAGTGCCTTCCTCTACTGAGGGTGGCTGGCCACATGGGCACTCCATATCTCCTTCCTTCAGTGCCTTCCTCTACCGAGGGTGGGCCACATGGTCACTCCATATCTCCCTCCTTCAGTGCCTTCCTCTACAGAGGGTGGCTGGCCACATGGGCACTCCATATCTCCTTCCTTCAGTGCCTTCCTCTACCGAGGGTGGGCCACATGGTCACTCCATATCTCCCTCCTTCAGTGCCTTCCTCTACTGAGGGTGGCTGGCCACATGGTCTCTCCATATCTCCTTCCTTCAGTGCCTTCCTCTACCGAGGGTGGGTCACACGGTCACTCCATATCTCCCTCTTTCAATGCCTTCCTCTACGGAGGGTGGGCGACATGATATTTCCATATCCCCCGCCATCAGCTTTATCTCCTCCTATGTGCGTCGTCCAGTCCATTGTTTGAACATGTTATTACATTGGGCTGGTTCTGTGTCAGAGCCCCGAGAACCTGCTATAGACTAGTCTTTGGACCACTCCGGGTATTTCATTTATCCGGTACCACATTTACCTATCCGCCACCTGGAGAGGCTTCCATTCAGGGAACTAGCAGACCCCACACGGGAAAGACGCCCAATTTGGATTTAAACCCATGACCCTGAGATTAAGAGTCTCATACTCTACCGATCGAGCTAGCCGGAATTGAGCGTTTCAGATGGCATAGCGTCATCTAGTGGAATAAAAATAAACTAAACGTTGATTTAGGTTATTCCATAATAGTTGGCTAACAGATCAGCGTGGAGAAGGCTGTCAATAGATTATACACGTTCTTTTGTTTATCTGATTATCTATAGTCCCGTCGTATAGAGAACTCATTTAAAAACCTCTTCAGTAAATATATCGATTATCCTCGATGAATAGAGAGAACCCTAAATTTAGCGGTCAACAGTATTTTAACCTTCTATTGAGAAATCATGGCTCATACGTAATTATTCTTCTACCACACTTTTCTCTTGAGTTAATTTACTGTAAAAATTGTATAGAGTGTGAAAGGAAAAATTAATAATATTTCATCCACTTTACCTCTCCCAATGTTTCGGCTCCTCCCTGTCGCCATCTTCTTTGCCACTCCACTTGTCTTTAGGATTTGTAGAGATCGAATTTTCATTTCAAAACATCAAATTCGATAGATACATTTTCAAATAAAGTTTCTTAACTTTTTTGTGTGTGGCGGCTATAAAAATTGTCACTTTGTGTTTATATACACTGTTTTGCCACCTAATGAATTGGTCTTCCACTGTGGCAATGTAAACAAAACCAAGAATACACAGGCTAAAAAGACAGCCCGGGTAGTTGGCAACTTCTGTACGAGGCTCCAGAAACATGGGTTATCTATGAATAAATAATAATACACTGTATTTAGAAAAATGTCGAGAGAAAGGTGAAAAACGCTGAATAGAATCTTTCGAAGACAGCAAAAGTTCGGTAGTGTGTTTCTCGCGGCTTTTCAACAGACGTGAGGAGGTTAGATGATGAAAAACTATACAAAGTTTATCGTTTAGGAATACCGTACCTTTATTATGGCTGGGAGGGACAATCGGGGGATGGTAGTACGAGATCACAAACTTCAATTAAAAGATATTCCACATCAATAGGGATTCTTATATATAAAAAAACATGTGCGTTGCGCAATATAGACGTGGAATCTTTTAATTTAAAGTTATACCAGCAATTACACGATGAATCACACAAACTTAACAATAAACAATTATTTTGCGGAGAATCGATACTCGGTGCAAGTACACTCATGGACAAAACTTAAGGAAATTTAATATTTTGATATCGCTTTTTTTTTTTTGAAGGAGACAGAGGCTGTTCACACTTGGTTATCTCGTGTGTCTTCAATAAAGGTCACTGTATATAAAATATCTTTCAGATTTATTAACTGAATCCCGATATACATGCTAAAAGGTACAACTTCCTCAAGTTCTGTCCATGACTCTATATAAAGTATTTTTGATATCCATATGTTACGTCCATAGTTTGTCTGAATACCAAGAGTTCCTCTAAAGTGCATAACTGGCCGATACACTATAAAAGCAGTATGATGGATTAAAATGACTAAACCGCTTGGAAGGTTCACCACTGATGAGCCAGGCTCTCCCAATATTTTTCATTGCAGGAAGGTCAATAGGAATTTGATTGATTTGAAAACAGAAAACCAGCATTAAACAGTGTCTTGTATTGTAAAACAACGGCATGTAGAATGGCTTCTGCAAATTAGAGGCGTTTCCCCACCACCTGAAACTGAATAAATGTTATCTATATATACACTCATGGACAACACTAAAGAAAGTTATATCTATTAGCATGTATATCGGGATTCAGACAATAACTATGAAATATGTTTGATACATAGTGATCTTTATTGAAGATACGCCAGATAACAAAGTGTGGACAGCCTCTGTCTCCTTCAAAAAAATAGACGACCGGCAATATCAAAAACTTTCCACTTCCTTAAGTTTTGTCCATGAGTGTATTAAACCTGACCATCCTATTGATTAATCTTCAAAATATTGAAATTTTTATTGTGGTATTTGGAATTTTATGGGCTAAAAATATTATTAATAAATAGACATAATTTGATCGTGCAACTGGAAGTTGTTGATAGCTTGTTCCATCTATCGGGATAAATCATAACTAATCGTTGATTATTGATTTTGTTTAAAGTTTGGGTAAAGTTTTAAACCAGAAATAATCGCGCCTCAGAAGTTCCTCAGTCGCTACGATATCGCCTCTGCGCAAAGCTTGATTTTGTACAAGAATATTGTGGCCAAGCCTCTCTTGGTAAATCAAGAAAAGTCAACCACGTTATCAAGAAAGAGTATCTAGCCAATATTCTAGAATATTAATAAAACACAACGATTAGAATTTATATTTATTCCGATAGATGGGGCAAATCATCAGCAAATTTAAGTTGTACGATTAGAATATGCTCTTTTTCTTGATTTACTTAACTGACTCAGTACAATTTTTCTTTTTACCTTTTTACCTAAATATTATTTAAGTCGATAATTCAAATTTGTGTAATATACTACATATGTATTTGCTCTATGGCGCGTTTTTCATAAGTTAGAAGACAATGACTAAGAAATGACTTCTAATATCTTTACAAATGATTTTCTTCGTATCAGTTTTTTCTTTCTCATCTAAATATAGCCAGACGGTGGGTCTTGGTGTCCCCCGATGTCATGTTTACAGACCCTAATTATATGACGTTATTGTGTAATATTAGTTTAGTTAGGTTAGATTAGGTTAGGGTTAATAAACACGAGACCCGGTCCCGTGTGTGAGATCATTCCCCGAAATTTTATTTAAAAAAAAAAAAGTGGGATTCTCTTAATAATCTCTTAATCTGAGAAATACACTCAAGGACAAAACCTAAGAAAGTTGTACCTTTTAACAAGTACAGATTGTTACGTAAATGTTACGTGAGTGTACACTCATGGACAACACTTAAGCAAGTTATACCTTTTAGAATATATATTGAGATTAAGAAAATAAATCTGAAATATATTTCAAACACAGTGCCCTTTATTGAAGACACACGAGATAAACAAGTGCAAACAAAAAATTGCCTCTGTCTTCTAAAAAGAATATAAATAAATAAATAACTGGCGATATCAAAGACATTCCAATTTCTTTAGTTTTGTCCATGAGTGTATCTTAAACATTTTAAATGAATTTAATTGGCTGTGATGGATTTTGATATGTTTTGATACGTGAAGCTCCCCAGTGTCGATACAGCGGCGATGTGAGCCATGTACAGGGCGTATAAACAAATGCCTAATTGCTTCACGGGGATATTTCTGCCGCAGCACCATCCCTCACATTATAAATATAGGAACACATGTGCAAAAACCTCAGACAGCTTGATGGATTGCCATTTTATTGGCATGATTTAAGAAATGGGCCATAAGATGGTTCGGCTGTAAGGTTGGAATGTTTACTTGTCTAATCTTGTTGCAGTTATCTACAGGTGTCTTTCTTTTAACTACCTTTTTTATCTCTTGGTGATGTAATGAATCATTTTGATATGTTCTACACTACCGCTCCAAGTCATCTGTGAGTTGTTAGAAACTTTGTATTTAGGGAAAACAATGTTCTTTTGTGTTGTGTCATGTAGGCTGAAAGTCTATTGTGTGAGTTGTATGTTGTGAGTTTTGCAAGTAGTGAGTGTATTAAGCGAGTAGTGAGTGTATTGTGTGAGTTGTATGTTGTAAGTTTTGCAAGTAGTGAGTGTATTGTGTGAGTTGTATGTTGTAAGTTTTGCAAGTAGTGAGTGTATTGTGTGAGTTGTATGTTGTAAGTTTTGCAAGTAGTGAGTGTATTATAAGCGAGTAGTGAGTGTATTATGTGAGTTGTATGTTGTGAGTTTTGCAAGTTGTGATTGTATTAAGCGAGTAGTGAGTGTATTATGTGAGTTGTATGTTGTGAAGTTTACAAGTAGTGAGTGTATTAAGCGAGTAGTGAGTGTATTATGTGAGTTGTATGTTGTAAGTTTTGCAAGTAGTGAGTGTATAAAGCGAGTAGTGAGTGTATTATGTGAGTTGTAAGCTGTGAGCGCATTTTGTATGTGTTGTGTGTGTATTGAAAATATATAATATACTTGAATTGATTATCTGTACTGAATATATATAAATTTATTTTAGAGTATAAAATGGTTCTGAATCGTTAAAGTTAGGAGAATCATATCGCCGAAAGTGACCAATAACAGAAAAGTCGTTGTCTGTATTAATCCCTTTGTTGATTTATTAAATAGGTTCCCTTAGTAGATCATGACCCCTAATTTGAATGAAGCTTCATTTACAGCATATACTGTATAGAAACAATTTAGAGATCGAAGCAAGAAAACATTAACGTGTACAAGGCAGAAATTAAATCAGTAATGTAACAATGCGTACAATGCAGAGATTAAATCAGAAACACAATAACGTGTACAATGCAGAGATTGAAGCAGTAATACAATGAGTACTAGGCAGAGATTGAATAAGAAACACAATAACGTGTACAGTGTAGAGATTGAAGCAGGAATACAATAATGAGTACAATGCAGAGATTGAAGCAGGAAAACAATTAGTACAATGCAGAGATTGAATCAGAAACACAATAACGTGTACAGTGCAGAGATATTGAATCAGAAACACAATAACGTGTACAGTGTAGAGATTGAAGCAGGAATACAATAATGAGTACAATGCAGAGATTCAAGCAGGAAAACAATGAGTACAATGAAGATATTGAAGCAGGAAGACAATGAATACAATGCAGAGATTGAATCAGAAATACAATAACGTGTGCAGTGCCGAGTTTGAAGCAGGAATACATTAATGAGTACAATGCAGAGATTGAAGCAGGAATACAATAACCAGTACAATGCAGAGATTGAAGCAGGAATACAATAATGGGTTAATGCAGAGATTAAAGCAGGAATATAATAATGAGTTTAATGCAGAGATTGAAGCAGGAATATAATAATGAGTAAAATACAGAGATTGAAGCAGGAATACAATAATGAGTACAGTGCAGTGATTGAAGCAGGAATACAATAACCAGTACAATGCAGAGATTGAAGCAGGAATACAATAATGAGTACAATGCAGAGATTAAAGCAGGAATATAATAATGAGTTTAATGCAGAGATTAAAG